TTCCCCTCATTGAGCGCATCGCCACGATAAATGCTATACATCTGTTAAAAACACTTTTGTCAGTGCGTATGCGGACATGTGTTTTTGTGTAATTAGACTACAGGTTTGGTACCTGAGTACAAAACTCCTTCGTATTTTAATGCAACAGTGTCTGAAACACTGCACACCAGTTTTTTTCCTGTGGTAGGGTCCCTCCCGTTAATAAGCAAAAGATGATCCAGAGGTAAGATACAGTTACGGAAAGAACAGAGGAAGTCCTTAGGCTTTGTTAGTTGGTAACAACTAGATGCTTTAATGATGCTTGAAGTGGTTTTTGGGAAACGTTTGCTTTTATTATTATTTAATTTAAATCATTAAGCTGCTAATATGGCTACTTTTTAAATGGGACCCTCCATAGACTTTCCAAGATTTATTTACTTATACCAGTGTGACTGTTTGTAGGGTACCACCTGTGGAATTTGTACCATGTCAGGCTTCTAAGGGGAACATCGGGCAACTATTACTGTCTCTATCATTAAAGTATTTGGGAGCCCTAGTCAAGAGCACTTGAGGTGGTATTGACCCTGAGAGCTTGCAGCTGTCAGAAAAGCTGAATTTGACTCCGGTGCAAAGAACGGGTTCTGCTCATACAGTATGTATGTAATTTGTGCAGTAATTGTGTATTACTGCAACTTCTGCCTGAAAGTTCAAGGACTTATTATAACCTAGACCGCTTTTTCTTTTTTAAACTTGGTTTAGCTGCAACTCAGAGTGAAGATTGTAATTTGTATTTAAAACAGAGCCAAACAAGCCCCTCAAATGTTACTTAAACTCTTTGATAAATTGGGACAGAAGACACTTTATGAAATGTTTAACAATTTACTCCTTCAACTGAGGTGATAACGCTTATACTCCAGTTTTCTAGCCTTTCAGGAAAACAAATAATCAGGCTTCATATTTCTGACATTAAATTCTATAGAAGATACTTACATTTTCTTTATCCAGAACAAAGAAGCAAAAGAGCTTTTGTTGTCCATATAATCCATTTTTAATTCTGATCCAAGCCAGCTAAGTCCAGTTACTTCAATTAAAATAGTTTTCATGATCAGTTTAATTCTTGCTAGAATGCTGATTTTTTTTCTTTTTTTTTTGAATTAAACAATAGAGTACATGGAAACAAAAAAAAGTGCTGAGAAGAGATGCTGTAAGGTCATTTCAGCATTATTGATTCAGCTTTTATATGTAGTTTGGAGCACATGATTTTGGTTTATCTAAATTATGTATAACACATTCTGGGCGTTTTGGTTTTTAATTCTAGAAAAATCCTGTATTTGTCTTGCAGCGCTTCCGAATATTTGGTTGGTTAAAAAAAAAAATGCATAGTGTTTAGTTGTTCTTAAAAGAAATCAGACCCGAAAATTAGACTTAAAGCTTCATGTTTTTCTATGATTTTATGGTATAGTTGCATTTTATTAATATTGAAAAATATTTTTATTAAAACAGGAACAAACTGCATAAGCATAGTTACATGTTTTCAGTCTATATTAAGAATGTAATTTGGAAGTAATTTGATTTAGAATTTAATGCGGTAACTGCCAAATCGTATACTTTATCAAATGGCCAAGTTTCAGAGCTTTAAGCGGACAAATGGCACTTCGAATCTGGCTAATTCTCAGTGTTGTACTGAGTAAAGAATGAAGGATCATTATATTCAAAATATCTCCACATAACCACAGAGTTTCTCAAACTTAAAACTGATAAAGACTGTTTTAACAGTCTATACTCTAAAGGTTGGTCTTGATGATCTTAAAGGTCTTTTCCAACCTAAACAAGTCAATGATTCTGTCCACTACTGGGCATTTGGTTCTGGGAGGCCTTGGTGGGAATCTCCTGGAAACTTCTGCTTGTCAGTTATGCAAACACTGAGGTTCTTGCCGAGTTGGAAGATTATTTGTTAATAAGCGTCTGCATTGCTGCAGGATTTTTGTCTAAAGAGCTTTCCTTCCATTGCATTTTTAAGGGTGCTATAAGCTGACAGAACTAGAGATGTGGATTATCATCATAAGCCCTTCTCATCTAATGTTCTGTGAATTTATAACTGCGGTTTAAAGAAGATTCAAGATTTATTTTTAATTGCTGTTTTGCAGGGAGCATTCCTTTGCTAGAACACCCTTTTAATCATACATCATGATTTCTTTTAAAACATCCCTTTTAAATACACCTGTCTGCCTGCTGCTCCTTGTTTCAGCTCTGGTGTTACAGATGTATATCCTCCTGTGGTGAGCACTTTTGTTCTTAGAAGACTTGTGCTTTCTCTTTGTGGGTTTCAAATAGCAATTGAAAATTTTGCAAAAATTTAGAAATTCTTCAAAAGTTTGTATGTGGGAACTTTACTCACTAGCCAAACTAAATTTCCAGGCCAAGAAAAAAAAAGTGAATTCCATCTCAGGGGGCGGAGGTGACTCATTTGATGGGAGAGTGGCCAGGTTTCTGTGCAGGAGTGCTGCAGTGCACTCAGCTACCTGTCCTTACCCTCTCTCACCTGCTACTGCTGCCTTATTGCAGCCACCAGCTGATGTGTCCTTACATCAATGAATGTGTAGCTTCATGATTCCATGAAGGAGCCTTTCTTTGGAGAAAGCATCAGTCTCTAATTAAATTATTTTTCAGTTTTCGTTCTTAAATTTAAATACAGAAATAACCTTTCTCTTGTACTTTCTTTCTGTTTAAATACAGAATGCTGTAGTGAACCCAGCTCTCATGCGTACTTGCTTTATTTCTGTCACCTGGTCCACCCAGCACAGTCGCTTGCCAAGGAGGAAGGCATCAATTAAGGAGACAAATGTGCATTAGGTTTTCTTATTTAAGAAAAATAAAAATTTTTCCTGTAACTAGAGAAAGGAAAAAGTGGTCTAAAGAAGCACAGTACAGACTGCTGAGGTAACGCCAGGGTCTCAGTTATTTAAACAGAGCTATAGCACTCATGCTAAAACCTTTGTTGAATACATCACTGATTTTAGCACAAAGTTGTAGGCTGGTTTTGTGCATATTAAATATATGTGTAATAGCACATCTTGCAGGATATACTGTGCGTCTGCAAATCCAGATCCAACTCAAAAGCTAAAATAATTATTGAAACCAGCATATAGCATATTGAAGTGCCTGTATCTTTTTTGTATTATAGTAGTGGAGTGACCTGGCAGGTCTGTGGTCACTGTACAAAATCTAGCTCTCTCTGAAATGTTCTGGGCATGAAACAGGACTCCAAACTCTATGCTGAAGTCTAGCCTGAGACCTAGTATAGAGAGAGAATAACAGCTACAGCCTTGAGTTGATGTGAATGTGGGATGCATGATGATAAAAGGAGTAAATTTATACTTCACTCTTGTGCTCCACTGTGTTTGAGAGTTGGCTGTTGAAGGTGGTCCTGGCAGTAGCACTGCTCATCTCCGTGAGGTACATCTGTGCCAACTGTTGGTCACCTGCTGCACTGTCAGCAGAGAAGTGGAAATAAAGGGGGAAGTGGGCAATACCCCTCACAGGATGTTCAAGCTCCACCGCTTGAGTCAACACCATGCAGTCAGGACCAAAAGGATTTAGAGATTACTGCTGGGATGTGAAGTTCAATTAATGCCTTCATACGCCCAGTGTGACTGTGAAAGACATATACACTACATTCATTGTATAGGCTGCTTGCATGAATATATCTGTAGATATCCTGACACTAGACAGTCTGTAATGGTTCCAAGTGGTTTAGATGTAAAACTGTTGGAAAAAAGAGTTTTACTTATTTTAGCAGTGCTGACCCTATCAGCTAAGTAGGCCTAGTTCCCTTTCTAATAACTAACGGTTTTATTAAGCTTCTGTCATGGCAAAATGCTAGACTTACCACTAAACCCAAGTGAGTAACTGAGAGTATCTAATGATACTGATGTTTACAGCACACCCCTTGAGAGGAAAACTAAGACTTTCTTTTCTTTCATCAGGCTGACTTCGATGGTGCTGCAGAAGATGTAAAAAAATTAAAAACAAGACCAACTGATGAAGAACTGAAGGAACTATATGGATTCTACAAACAGGCTACTGTTGGAGATATTAATATTGGTATTCCTATTCCTATACATACTTCACATTTACTCCCATATTTTGATGAAATCAAGCAAATGTTAAATCTGCATGATAATCCAAGTTACGCGTCTATTTTGGCAGAATGTCCAGGAATGCTAGATTTGAAAGGCAAAGCCAAATGGGAGGCATGGAACCTGAAAAAAGGTGTTACACCAATTAAATTTACATCATGTAGTCATGTTTATAGGGTGACAAATCAGGAAAGATAGTAACTCCTACTTTCCTTTGCAGGTTTATCAAAGGAGGACGCCATGAATGCCTATATCTCTAAAGCAAAAGCAATGGTAGAAAAATATGGGATCTAGAATACTCAAAATAATTCCCACTAATAACTAACTCTTCAGTAGCTAATGAACTAACTCTGTTGAGAAGAATGCAAACTAACTCCTTATTGCGTAGTGTGACAGTAAAATCTTTTAGGTATAAGCTGTTTGACTGTAAAGGAGGGTATTTACATACATACTCTATTTTTAGATTGTATCTTATTTTAAATAAATTTGAACCTAATAAATTAAGCTTTCTCTAAGAATGGTGGATTTTTGTGGGTATTAAATTATATTTAGCATTTTTACAGGAGCACACAAACAGAGAAGCTCTAAAAGTAGAATAATATAGCTGTCATTTTTTGCAAACGGAGTGAATGAATGAAGTGAAGGGTTTGTGCACATGCAAGATGAGAAGAAGGAAAAGATGAAAACTTTTTAAAGACCCAAAGTCAATGTTTATTTTCAAAAAATCAGAAAAACTCCCCCTTTTAAAGAATTACAGTAAAGATCTGGAGGAACAGAACAACTCTTAGGCATAACTGCATGCAATTTTACAGAAGGAATGACGACTTATGAAGTGCTGTGGACTAATCTTACACCTTCTGCCATTAAAATAGAGGGAAATACTCATAGACCAGCATTTTCTATACATCTTGTTATGTGTTTTGCCAAGAAAATTTCATTAGAGGGTTCCAGCAGATAAAAGTGACCTCCAGGAAGCTTGTAAAAGGAAATATCTCCACTTGTTAGATCGTGCCAGGCTGAAAAAGATATTTAAAGTGTCAGAGAAATGTCAAACTGTTGTGGTCATTTTACATAACTATTTCAGAGTTATTATTTAATAATTATTTTAAATCCTGTATCAACTGTTTTGGTTCGTACATTGAGACTGCTCTGTTGATTTGTTTCATTTAAGAAGGAGATAAAAGACTCCAGAAAACTCTTCATTAACTGATTCGATACAACAGGAAAATACGTAAGTATAAGAGGAAAACCATTTAAGCAAAGTACCTTCTAAATCATGTGGTTTATCTTCAGACCCATTAAAGCAGGTAATATCACAAGAGAGGGGGATATTCCTTTCTGCCTTCTCAAAACTGTGAACATAAAAAGTAGTAATAAAACTTTCCATAAGATACCTGTATTTGGGGTTTGCTTCCACATACAAAATAGCTTTTTCTTTCTTCTCCAAAACGTAGCAAACTTCAGGAATTAGATTGTGCAGAACATCAGGAGAAGGAATTACTGTATCTGTAAGATTCTTAGCTCCTTACCCTACTGCAATTAGGTCTGAAGTTTTAAAGAAAGAATGACCCAGTAGTTAGGAAAAAAAGAGCTTCAACCTGCAATAAAAATTCTCACCTACAATGAACAACTGTGTAGTCTGTTTATATTCAAGTTCTAATGTTTCAGGGCCTTATCAGCATCAGGTTCCTATGGCCAAAATGGGTCTCATCCAAGAGTGTCCTTGTCTTTGCCAGGGTAAGAAACCTTAACCACTCAGCTACGTGAGCTGTTGTGTAACATCCAGTGGGGACAGCAGTTAGGACAGAAGAAGCCGGTTGATCTCTAGGTGCCTAGAACACAGGCACCTAGTTGCTTCTGGTGAGGCTAGGGGGCCTTGGATCAGGAGGCTGAATGCAGTGATCCTGAAGCATGACCAGTTGAGCTTATTAGCCTCAAAACAATAAAAGACGCGAGAAGATTCCTTTTAGTGGCTACTAACTTTGGATCCTAAGTAGAACTGTAATTCTACCATGAGATGTTCGCTACTGTAATAACAGTAGTGCTTGTTACAGTAAGCAGTGTTGAACCAATGTATTTAAGCCCTATGTTTAGGGCTTAAATACTAGAATATAAATGGAAAATACACAAAGGAGACAACTATGTTTACTTTTCATATTCTTTTTATAACAGAAACGAGAACAAATTGCAGAGAAAGAAAAAAGAAAACCTGAAATGATAAGACAGAAGTAAAACTGTAAAATACAAATATAACTGTAATACAAAATTGTAAAACTTACGAAAACGTCTGAAGAACTCTAAGGTCTTCTCTGATAGTATGTATCAGATGTTTCTTAAAGTCTTCATTTTGCAGAAGCTCAGCAGGAGTTCCTCCTAAAATTTGTATATTTGTAAGAATCTCTTCATCTTCTGTATCACATGCGGGTGTGCTTTTGATGGGAAGAAGTGCTTCAGTCTGTTAGCACCAGACAAAACAGATCAGGTGTTGTATATAATATACTTTAAATAATATGTTCACTAAGAATGGTTTCCATAAAAAAGTACAATGATTCTTTGTCTCCAAAATACAATTATTAATTTAGCATCCACAGAGACTACTTCTTGGAAAGGGTTAGTACACTGTCTTTGCTGAAAATACAGATTATGAGTAAGCCAAGTACCCTCAAGGTCTGAAACTTCCACAGACAAATAACCATTAATTTAATTTTGTTCAAACTTTGACTCTCACTATTGAAATACAACTAATAAAATAATCTATTTAAGAGAAAGAAAAGCCTAGCGGTGGACACAAATCTGACTAATGTAGGACTGGAGAGACCAACTGATTGTGGAAATTTGCAGGAATAATAATTGCTTCCATGAAGTACTAGCTCGTACTCAGGATTGCTAAGAAGCCCCAGTAACAGAAGAATGGAAATAGCAAATGCTGACTGAGGAGAGGAGAACTGGGAAAAAGCCACTTCACTGTTGTTTTCCTGAGAAAGACTAGCAGAACCACCAGAACCTCAGGAGGAACTGAGGACAGATTAAAAAGCCAACAAAGAATGAGGAGGGAAAGAAAGAAATGGACAAATGTACTGAGAGCTGGTGCAGGAGGTCTATGAAAGGCTAGGTTGAGACAGTTACAGAGTAAGGAGTGGCACTTTATATTTTGTTTTGATTACTTTTTAGTATTAAGCCAAAGGCCATAGTAAATAATACAGTATTCAAAAAAGGTAGCATTAGCTGAAGGGGACTGTTCTCCCTAGACTAAGGTTAGCAGCAGTGAATATTCTGTAATGTGAAATTCTCTGTCCGCCTCAGAATTAATTTCCTCTAAGAAAACAAAACATTTTTCTGCATGCATTCAGAAGCAATGCTTGCTTTGTATTAAAGCCTCTCTGCATACCATACTGTAAAATGTTATTTTTACTCTTGGTAGCTAATACACTGTTTTGTTTCGTATTATTAATATTCCTGTAACTTACCGTTGGGGCATGTGCCCCTGATACAAAAAGATGGATCGGCTCTAGTCCATACTTTTCTTTCAAGTGTAGCGCAACTGCAAAACAAACATAAGATCCAAAACTGCAGCAAAAAGAGAAATTAAAGCAAAGTAAGCAAAAACATAAGTAAAAACTGGAAAATTTAAACATAATTTGAATTTCAGTCTAACTGGCTATCTTGAACAGTTACTGCAACCATCTATGACATGTAAACTATAGTGATATTAGCTAATTGACACAAAGTGTATTTCTACGCAGTCTAGTTTTACAAATCAGACCTTTTTTTAATCTCTTTCTTTTAGTAGTCTCCTTAATTTGCAGTAAGAACAGTTATTTTGAATACTTGGGACTAACTGATCTTCAAAATCTATGTGTTTTATGAATGGTTCACCCCCTGCATTCACACACAGGAAGCACTGACACAAATATTAACAGTAAACACAATTATAATTTATCAGTGTTTAAAAAAAGAAAAAAGAAGGAACGCAAGACTGCCATTTTTAGAAGACACTGTGCCTGAAGTAGTAAATAAATAACCAGAGTCTCTGAGATCAACAGCATGTTTTAGGATGACTTGACAAAAGACCTTTGCAGAAGTGTATTTTCCTAAAGTTTTTGCAAATAAAGGCAAGTAACTATCTCCTCCTAAGTTCAAAGATAAAGCTCCTTCACCAGGGTATCTAAAAATGTATATATTTTTACCTGTGACCAAAAAATGCAAATGGTTTTTCTTGCAATTCTTCTAACAAAACACTTGTAATTTCATTAACTACGGTTGTCATGTCTTTCGCAAAAGGCTCCTTAAGACGAGATTCTCTTCCAGGAAGCCTTACAGAGGACACTGCAGAAGAGGTGGAGGAAGGGAGGGAAAAGAATTATAGTTATTTCAAATAGAAACAGTAATAATTTTAATTAAATTTTTTAATCTATTCTTCAGAATATATAGATTATTTAAATTAATCCTTCTTACAGTTGATACAGTGTATTTGCTATTGCTACTACTGTCTTTTAATCCTGTGAGAGATTAGGTTTCCATCCTTTCTTTTACTCACAAATGTTGCCTCTCCAATTGATCTGATTGATTGATAAATGCCTTGGGTCAGAAATCCTCAAGGTCCTGATCTCAGCTGAGGTTTCAAAGCAACTTTATTACTGTTAGTATTAATAACAACCACAAATTCATGAATTTCAATAATAGTAAGTTTGTGGGTTGTGTAAAATATATCCTTTCAAGGGCAGCATTAGAAAGTTAAACTATATTAGAATCGTACAGTCCCTGTTTTCTTCTTTGCAGACTCTTCAGCACCGCACATAGTAAAATGTTGAATCATAGTATAAATTGATGGCAATTTGTATTTATATGGAAGGACATATTACATGCTTTTATTATATTTCTCTCAAAATTGGGGATTTTCCTTTCACTGTTTAGAGAAAGTAAGGAATGAATAGAACAGAAAAAAATGTTCATTTTCTAATATCTGCTTGCCATACACATACTGCCAAACTCACATGGAAGTAATGGGTCAGACGCAAAGTATTTTAGAAGAAATGGAATAAACCACTCCCTAATACCATAGATAGCAGCACAGAAATGTTTGCATCTTCCATACTTCCTTTCTGCACAAAATATCTCTGAAAGAGCATGCTGCACCCCGATTTTATTCATCTGTGTCTGCAGTTGCTTCTAGGCCATCTCCTTTGTAAATTTGAAAGTAGTTCCAGTGGACAAAAGCTTTCTTTTTCTTTTTTTTTAAATTTCAAGGAAAATTTGATGTGACTTGTGCAACTGTTTACAGAAAGCATGCAATCATTCAGAGGACTGGTACAATTGCAATGGCAACGCTCTCTATAAATGCTAAATCTTTTTTTCTTTGTGGAAGGTCTGGAAAACGGCCTTGGTTCCTCTTCAAATAGTTCAGCAATGGATCTTTTTAGTGCTGATAGAGTCTGACAGAGCAATGAGAATTACTTCGCAGTGTAACTAAATGTCATTTCCCTGTTATAAATCCATAGTTTAAACTTCAGTTTTGATACAAGGAGTGCAAAACCATGCAAACACTCTGGATAATGGAAATTCATTCTGTGCAGTCTCTCAACATTAAAAATAGTTCTCATATCTTCACTGTTAACCTTGCTGATGCCTTTTTTTAACATATTAACAATATGCCAGTGTATTGCTATTTCTGAATCATACCAATAGTTTCTGAAGCAGTCAAGCATACTATAGTCTTGTGAAATTTAGCTCTGTGGATATAACTTTTTAACCTAGTCAAATATAATTTGATCCAAGGTAGTACAGAAACTTAGTAAACTCAGCACCCTAATGGAAATGGTAATTTCTAATGGAGTTCCTTTCTGGATAAGATCCATTGGAAAAAGATTGCAGTGCTCTCAAGAACATTATATTCCATTCAAAAAAATTGGCTACCGTGTATTTCAGACTTGCTTAACTTCTGCTTTAACTACACAAATGACTAACCTTCAATTGAACTGCTGAAGAGTTTGCCCCACTGAGCAAGATGAGAAGTTCCACCTCCAGCCCATGGAAAGCAAATCAGCCTATAGAGAGCGTTTGGCCTTTTGTATGGACAAGCAACCACCTTCTCCATTCCTAAAAAAACCCAAGAAAACAACACATCACTCTAGAACAAGACTCCTCAGGTATAGGAAAATTAGAGTGAATTAAGTCTAATTTGAAACAATGGGCTGCAATATTTTCTGTCATCAGAACTGCTTGTGCTACAACAGCAACCTGTTAGATATGAGATAATCTTCATGCAACAGTGGAAACCAGTTCTGCTTTTATAAATGGTGATGGAATAGTATTGGGCAACACCCTTGGTTAATATTTTCTCCTGTTTGAGTCACTCACCAAAAAGAACAAGCAGCAAAATAAATTTATATGGGATTTCAGGATGACCATTTAAAAACACAGGCTTTTAGAACATACACAAAAATATAAGGTCCGTCTAAAGACCTAGAAAACATAAGGACCACCTACTTCGACATTCTCTCTACTACAGTGGTAAAATGGATGTCTAGGGATGCAGTTTCTTTATATATAGGAAACATCTATGAATTTCTCTTTCATGTATTTATTCAGTCTCCCCTTAAATTCCTATGAAGGGTTAGCATCTATGACATTCTTTTGCAATGAGTTGCACGGCTTTACTATCTGTTGCATAAAGAATGATCTTTTTTGTTTTTAATCCAACTCCTGCAACTTCATTTGATGGCCACAGGGTAGCACGGTAAAGAAAGTGAATGGTGCATCTCTCTGGATTTGCCACTGAGCATTTCTGAGATCTTCTCTCATATTCTCTCTGCCCTCAGTCAGCTCTTTTTCCTGAATGAAAAGGCCTGGTTTGCTTAGGTATCCCTCATATGGCAGTGCTTCCATACTCATGACTGTCATCGCTGCCTATCTCTGGACTTTTTCTAATTTTGTTATATCCTTTTTGAGATGGTGGAGTAACCAGAGCCACATTCAGCTTTACCACAGCAGTTTTAGTATCTTTTTTATTGACTGACAGAAGTAACAGCTGAAGCAAGATTTATAACTATTCCTTCCTTCTTGCTGAAAAGGAAAAATAGCATCGAAGATGCCAACTGCATTGTCCCTAGCATCAGATACTGCCCTTGCTATCTGAAGAAAAAAATAATTCTCAACCATTTTTATTCTTCTTTCCCAATTTTATTGTCCTTTATTCTTGCTGATTAGATTTGTGGACATAAGCGCTGAAGTGACATCCTACATCTTATAGCTTATCAGGCTGTGTTCTGTCAAAAGAACCTGGGAACACCATGTGCAACAGAAATACCTGGTAAAGATAAAGTAATTAGAAGCAATAGTGATACTGAATTTTAAAAAATATTTTCTGCAACCGTTAGAATAAACTCAGATGTTCTTGTTAAAAAGACTGAAAAACTAGTAACTAGGAGACAACAAGCAGCAAAATTCCATTTCCAAAATGCTTAAAATTGTTACAGGTATTATTTCTTGGTGTGAATATAGCTCAGTATATGCAAGGACTGATTCATCATAAATTACACCTACATGCCTACATGCAGTCTTTTTTACCTGCACAAAAAGTCTGAGAAATGCAACCCGATCAGAATAGGCAGCAATTCATACCTATTTTAAAGCTAGGAAATGCAAGCAACACAGAAGAAAATCTACCCAAATGTTGCTGTGGCTAAAATTTTCTTGCTTTTCATGTATGTTTAAACTAGAAAGTTTGTCAACATTTGTTAAGAATCAGTTTGAAGAAACTATAAGAACTGCAAGCCAAACAAACTTGTATCAAAAATGAATGGGCAGATGATGTGAGCTTAAAGATAGCTGAAGGATAGTGGAACCAGTGCTGCAGAAGACGTAATTCCTCTGGTAGATTCATTTAGCATAGTACCATTAGTCCCATTTACACAGTCACTTCTTCCACAAAAAGACACAAAAACTCAAACATTTGTGAAGCTGGTGTTTTAACTTAACAGTCAAGTAAGAAAAGAAAAATCTCTTCTCAAACTGATTCCAAAAGTAATACAAAAATTTCAAGCATGATAAAGAAGCACATTTAGTGAAGTCCTTAAACAATTTAAAGATACATTACCAGTCACTGAGAATCTTTCACGCTTTCTACTCATACCAGTTTATTCCATCACCACCCAGCTTACTTTAGATGCAAATACCTGAAGAGTCGGGAAGACCACCAGTGCCAGGGAATGACAGCCTGAGGGTGGATCCACTTCTCAGAGCTGCACAGCAAGAAGCAGGAATCAGAATTTGTAGGTATCAGCAGATACAGGAGCAAAGCCAGCCTTGCAGGAGAGGAGGCGATGTGCACCCAGGTGGCACAGCTGCCTGTTTTAAGTCCTTTCTAGGCTTAAGGGGAGGAGCTGACACCCCAGAAAAAAGGCAGGGACTGAGGCACACAGCCCAAAAGGGAGGCAGAAGCATCATGTGTTAGGCGTGACATGCAGCATTTGGCAGCAACAGAAGGAAGGTGTGCCACATCAAGCCCAGCAATTTAAAAAGCACAGGTTAACATGCCCCTGACAGTATAGAAGTTGTAGCACTTTTAATGCATGGAGGACCACAACTCCACTGAAGAAAAAGCCTGCATAAAGTAACCAAGAAAAGCCAGCCTTTTGTAAGAACTATATGCAAAAGCACAGTGCTCACACCTCTGCGAGACAGTTTTGTAGGGGTCTGAAAATGTTAACATAGGAGACCATCACCTGATTTGAATAAAACACTGCATTTGATTAGTAGGCCAGTTGTAATTTCTACAAGCCAGAAGACACAGCAGTGCATGAACACCACACTGTGGTTACATACGGTGATTTTATATTATCTGCTATGTTGTGCTCCTGGGGACCAGATGCTATCAGCAACCTAAAAACACCAGTATATTTTGTAACTGCATTTGTAGTACTAGGAATATTGGCTTTTTTTTTAGTGCTTTTTTTAGTGTTACTCTACCAAAAATATCAGTAGCGGTAAATGAAGTAAAAATATGCAAAAACAGTGACCAAAACTAAGGAACCTGAGCGCCAAAATGGGTTCTGATGCTTAACTTGAGACACATAAGCTGGATTACTTTGTGGTTTTCACATTATTCTTCGTTCTTCTACATTTCTCTTCATCATTTCTAGGAAACTGAAAAATCTGTGGTATTAAGAGAAAAGCCTGCCTGTTGACCTAGCCAGCCAGTAAGCACTGCTCCTTTCCCAAACGAGGTCTGCAGTCGTCTACTCACTTCTGATTTCAGCTTTCCTGGGGAACCCTAAATCAACCCTTCTGTCTGCAGCACTTTCTGTGGGAAGGCGTGGGCTCCACAGTGAAGGCTGGTCCCGCGCCCTGAACCTGCCACTTTCGTACGGTGGCAAAAGTGGAAACTGTTGCTAAGGCTTCTTTCCCAGTACTTTTCTGCTGTAATTATTATGAAGTAAGATGAGACACACCTATGTTTGGAAGGTGCACAATTTAAAGCAGATTATATTGGCTAGTCCTGACCTGTACTGTTATGCCCAATACTGCTTCTCCACATGATGTATCTGCTATCAGAGGTATTTGATTATAAGGTACAATTTATAATAAAGCACCTAATATGCTTTATTTATTCCTACCTCAAATTGTGTCAACTGTAAAATCTGACACCCAATGTTTATGTTATGAAAGCCAGCTGTTATAAACATCAGGCCCACTAATAATGTTCCTAAAAGTAATAAATACTACCGGAAACAATTATTTCCTAACTAAGGCTGAAAATAAAACAGGTTAAGAATATGAAGGTATGGCATTAATCAAATAGCATGGTGTTTCCTTAAAAATAATGAAATTATAAATTGTATGTGTTGATTGTTTTTGTTTGCCTTCTAAATTTTTTCTCGGTATCAAAGGACTAGAAATTTATTGGGTTTTGTATGAAAAATTAATATTTTCACAAATGTGGTTTAACCCCAGCCAGCAATTGAGCACCGCACAGCCACTCGCTCACTCCCCCCGCTCCAGTGGGATGGGGGAGAGA